GGCAGGCTGCTTTTCCCTTTTAAGTCGCATCAGGTAATTACTCTTCTTGCTTGTAGGGTTGGGCCTACTATCTTTATTCTCTCTCCAGATGGATGGGAATTGCTTTTTGGGTTTTTTTCCCCTGTCTGGTTTATTTTTATTTCACCACCTGTGCCTAGCACAATGCCTCCCTCAAAGAGAGCCTCCAGTGGATGAGTGAATGGATGGACTGAGTTAGTGGGAAGCAGGCAGCATTGGTTTCTGTTTGGCTTTACCTTGAAATAAGGTAAAGGTTTCAGAGGTCTGGCCCTGGGAGCATCTCAGATACCCAGAACTTGACTTTTTTTTTTTTTTCTTCTGTGCTTTGAGATATTGTGAGGGGAGTAAGACCCTCTCCACCCATATCCCCAAGAGAAGAGAAAACCAGATTATAGTTTTGATGCCCCCTTTTCGGCTTAGTGTCTAGAACATACCAGAGCTGATTCTGGATCTCAGGGAACCAGTGTGGCCAATCATGGCCAATCAGCTGCCAAGGCCATGACTGATTGTTCTGTGGATGAATAGAGGGATTGAGGGTGGGAGCTTGTTCTTATTTTTTAAATGCCCATAGGACTTAAAACTCCTTCAGCTCCCCGAGACTGCTAGGTAGTGCATTTATTTTGGATGGCTTTTGTGTGGCACACTTCCTCTTTCAAGTGAACTCTTTGGCTGTTGGTGATTTCTGCATCTCCTTCCGCCCTCTCTCTTATTTTGATGTGCCTCAAAAAAAATCAGCCACAGGGGCGCCTGGGTGGCTCAGTCGTTAAGCATGCCTTCGGCTCAGGTCATGATCCCAGGGTCCTGGGATCGAGCCCCACATCGGGCTCCCTGCTCTGCAGGAAGCCTGCTTCGCTTCTCCCTCTCCCACTCCTCCTGCTTGTGTTCCCTCTCTCACTGTGTCTCTCTCTGTCAAATAAATAAATAAAAGATCTTAAAAAAAAAAAAGTCAGCCACAAAGGCCAACACTTGCTACAGAAATGCCATTCTTCCCTGCTTCTGCACGGGCATCTCCTCACAGCTTTGACTCATGGTCTGCTGAAACAGCCCTCAAACTTTTTTTTAAGATTTTTAAAATTTATTTATTTGAGACACAGATAGAGAGAGCATGAACAGGGGGAGAAGTAGAGGGAGAGGGAGAAGCAGGCTCCCCACGAGCCAGGAGCCGGATGTGGGGCTCGATCCCAGGACCCTGGGATCACGACCTGATCCGAAGGCAGACACTTAACCATCTGAGCCACCCAGGTACCCCAGCCCTCAAACTTTTTAAAAGAAAACAGATTTGGGTGCCCCTAGTGGTTTGGGTCCTTGGGTCTGTGGTCACACCCCCAGTGATCCTTTGGATGGTGGTGTTGGACACATACCTGAACTGGGCCAGGGAGTTTTGCTAACTGATATTAAGGCTGAATTTCAGCCTTTCATGGATTAACATGATGGAGAAAGGCCTCATCCTCCCTCTTCTGGTCACACACACTATCTGGAGCAATCCTGTATAATACAAATACAACACCTGCCACATGAATAATTTAAAATTTCCTAGTAGCCACATTTCAAAAGAAACAGATGAGATGAGCTTTAATAACATTTTTTTACTTAATTTAGTAAGTCCAAAATATTGTCATTTTAATGTGTAATCAATATGAAAATCATTAATGAGCTATTTTACGTTCTTTTTTTGGTACTAAGTCTATGAAATCTGGTGTGTACTTAACAGTTACAGCCCACCTCCATTTGAACTAGCCACATTTTCAAATGCTTAGTAGCTACATGTGACTCCCGGCTCCCATGTTGGATAGCACAGCTCTAGACTTTCCAGGTGAGATGGAGAGTGGTTATTCTGGGCCCACTCTAACCTCCAGATTAAGCTACCCAACCAGCTGAATCAAGATGAAAGAGATGGGCAACTATACCCCCCCGCAAAAAAGAAGGAAAGAGTTGGGGAGGGATGGAGTGTATTTAAATCTATATCTATCTATAGCTATAGAATATCTATAGAGCTTTAGAGATGGGATTTTAAAAACGTCTTGATGTCACAATCAGCAAGAAGACATTTTTGGGGTTTAAGTAGTTATATGGCTCCTAACTGAAGTAGTCTGATTTATTATTTTGTTCTCATGAAAGTTGTTCTTTGTTCATTCTTCTTGAATTCATGAGTTTTAAAAACTAAACTTGATAGACAGTTTTACTTTTTGTTGTGTCTTTTTGTTCAGATCCCCTACATTCCTTATGCAATCAGGAAGGAATTAAATATCTCAATAAAAAATGATAATCAACATGTATTGAGAGCTTGCTATGTGCCAGACACTTGATATGTGTCTCAAAAAAGAACCATATGAAGTAGGTTCCATCATTATTGCCATTTTTCAGATGAAGAAACTGAAACATTCAAGTTGCTAAGTAAACTTGACCAAGATAACCCAGCTGGTAAGTGGTGAACTCAGGCAAGTGGATTTCAAGGCCCACACCTCTAACCATATATACTACTTCTTTGCAAAATTAATGTAAAACTTAACATTCTCCAGAACTGTTCAAGATTCCAGTCTCCTTTAAACATGTCCACTCTAAACACCCTTGCTTTTGAGTGTTCTGGCAAAAAATATATGCCTTTTCGTGGGGTGGGATCAGTACATTTTAAGCCCTATTTGGAAAATCTGGCCTCACTGTAGAGGGATCAGGCCATTTGCAAACTGACAGAATCTGCCTTACCATTGGCAAAAAAATAATTTGATCTGTTATATAAAAACCAAAGTTAAGATAATAACTCTTACATGTCTTAGAATTATAAAAGGTAGATTCACAACAATTCTGTTTACTCAAAAGTCATACCACTGGTAGACTTAAAATGACATTCCATTAGATTATAAAAAGCATGCATATCCTACTTAAAAAATTCTGTCTTTAATTCATTATTTTTTTCAGTTCAATCATTATAAAATGCAACTTAAGTGTTTAAGTTCTAGATTAAAATTTCTCAAAGTGAAGACAGATCTGATCTGCCATTTTCAAGTATGCCAGGTAGTTAGGAATTATGCTGGTTTCTGCATCTGGGCCTTAACACATTTTAAATAATTATACATGCTGAAAGTCTATATATTTTTTAAATTTGTAATATGAATTTGTCTTCCCTCTCCTATTAAACTGTAAGCCTCATTCAGGGTAGGCTCCACATTTCCTGCTTCCTTTATCAAGCTGTGTATGTTAAAATATGCTGTTGTCTTCCAGTCTGAATTGCTGTGGTTTTGATATCTCAAAGAGGTTGGTGGGAGTTCTGGCTGATACTTCAAACTCATCGTAGTTCTTGGGTCTGAATACAGTGCTTGCTTTTTGATGTTCTCAAATCCCATCCCAGGCCAAGAACTAGCTTCTGAACCATTCCCTTGACAAATTAGTAAGAAAGGGATTTTTTAAACTTTAATTTTAGAAAAATGGATAACTTATTTTCAAATGGCAAGATGCTGTGCAAAGGAGTTACAAAGCAATCTATAGGACTCGCCTATGCTATTAACTAGGAGAAAGGAGTTAAAAATTTCAAGTCTTACACACATACCCATTCAGCCTTGTTCTGTTTTTCTGTAACTTGAATAGTGTATAGAATTGAACTCTGAAAGTCCTGGAGCTTTATTTTATTTTTATTATTATTATTTTTTAATTCATTGCCTTGAGGAGCCCTGAGAAAGGAAGTGAGAGGGCACAGCTCTGAAGAACTGGCAATTTGGCATCTCCTCTCCCCCTTTCACCCCTCCTCCGCTATTTTAGCTATTTGACCTGATTAAACAACTTTGGGATGTTAGCCAGATTTCTGTATGCTAACGAGGCCCCTATTCATGATGTAGTGAGATTTCATCCACCGGGAGCTTCCCGGCTGTTCAGTGGAAGCCTGGCTTCACAGAAGTCTCCCAGTTTTGTCAGGGGTTCGCCAGTGAGGAGTTCACGCTGACTTGGAGCAGACACAGACTCCAAAAGCCTCGGGTTATACCGGATTATTCAGTAGCAGATTTTTCCACCTTGTATCTAAGTAGTGAAAAGTGACGCCAGAATCGCGTGTGCTACTCCCCGAAAGAGACTCTGGCAACACCTTCTGTCAAGTTACTCTTTCCTAGTAGCAGAAAGCGTTTCCAAAAGTTTCCTTAAACCTCGTCTGTTCCTAAGCCTAAAGGTCAGAGCGCCAGGTCCCACTTGGCTCCCCAGCCGGCCGGAATCTGATCGTTTCAGAAGTTTCCGCGGTGTGTGGAGATGAGAAGAGGTGGTGGTGGGGAACCGCGCAGAGTGACCACCGCGCATTACGTAACGAAAGCCCTGGCTGCAGGAGGGAGCGAGCCTGACATTGAGACATTCCAGGGGGAGGGGAGTTGCTGTCCTGGAGTCGCCAGGAACGGCGGTAGCAGTTCCAAGAAAGAGAGAGAGAGAGAGAAAGAGAGAGAGGGAGGGAGAGAAGGTGGCTGAGATAAAGAAAACACTACGGGAATGAGAATGTTAAAAAGCCTTAGGACCCAGAGCATTAGCAAACGGCTGGGCACGTGTAGTAATTTGTTAGACGAAACGGCAGCCTTCCAACTTTTGCACGGGAACAAGGGGATTTGCCCTTTGGGGGATTAAAAACGTAACAGCAAAGCCAAAAGCTAATGAATGGGGTTCAGTGGTTTGTTGGCAATACTTAAATATTTCTGTCCAGGAGCGCAAACTCTCTGCAGTTATTCAGAAAGTAGGGGCTCAAGCCAAATTAGAATACTCTCCCGTGCGTCTCCACTTTCCCAAATCGGAAAAGGAGCTGCTCGCGCGGTACTGCCCCTTTAAGACCTGCTTGCTCTCGGGCTCTACAAAAGGGAGTGACCTCTGGGCTTTGACAGCTCCCCTAATAACTACCACCGTGCAGGCCCCGCCCATCTGGCGACCAGCAGCGCCAATTGGCCAGCGGGCCGGTATCCCGTGCTCTGATTGGTTCTCCGCTTCCCCTGAGCGAACCTTTAGAACTCTGAGACAGACAATATTCTGTTACATTGTAGCAAAATGGCGACTGTCATTCACAACCCCCTGAAAGCGTAAGTAAGACTAAAAAATGTACATATTCCGCCTGGTTTCAATATGAAAAAAAAGGCGCCTTCCGCGTGCCGAGCGCTGCCAATGCACTGCGCTTGCAGGCGCCTGCAGCCGCGGCGGGGCTTCTCTTTTCTTTCAGCTCTTACTTCTTCATCTTCTTTTTTTCCCCCCAACGCGCAGAAATGTCAAGAGATGCAATTAACAAGAAGAAAATTGTTACATTTGTGTTCTGCTTAATTGGAGGACGCACCGAGAGGGGTTTTCGGCAGGGGAACCAGGCGCTCGAGCGCTCTCCAGGGCGGTCGTGGGCAGCTCGGGGACAGCACGGTCCCCCGAGTGCCCGGCCTCGCGGGGCGGCGAGCGCGGCGCGGGGGGCGGCGGAGCTGGGGGCGAGCGCCGGGCAGGGGCCGCCTGGGTGCACTTGGCTGAGCCCCGCGCCTCCTGAGTCCGCAGCCCCTGCCCGACTGCTGGGTCCGCCGGGGCGAGCGGACCGTGGCAGCTCCGGAGTTTGCAGGGCGCTTTACGCCTTCCGATCGCTTGCGGGGAGTTTGTGCAAACCTTCCGGAGTTGGGAGGACCGCAGGGGGAGCAGTGGGTCCCGGGAGCCCTGCGGCCCAGGTGGTTGCCCGGGGCTTTCCTGCCGGGGCAGCCCCCCCGAGCATGACTGCGCTCCGGGCGGTCACCGGTGTGTGTGTGTGTGTGTTTGTGGGCGAACTGGCTGTAGTGTATTAACGACTCGGGTTAACTTGGGGTTGATTTGGACGCAGGGAAGCTGCAGGTCTTATGAATGGTGTTCTCGCCTCCTCTGGGTGAAAAGCCGAGGCGGGCGAAGAGGCAGCTTGGGGCTCCCCGTCTGAGCGGGCAGCTTCTGCTCCCGGCCAGAGCGAGGGGCAGGTGCCTCTGGCCGCCGCCGGGAGACTTTGAGCGGACGCCCAGATCCCGGACGCAGGGGGGCGGGCTGGGTGAGGACATGCGGGGACCAGTCCCCGGGTCCGACAGCCAATTCCTGCCTGCCTTCCTTCCTCCTCCTTTTCATCCTGCCTGCCTTCCTTCCTTCCTTCCTTCCTTCCTTCCTTCTTCCATCCTTCCAGTCGGTGGAACTGTTAAGTCGCCAAGTCTAATCGTGATCGCGGAGCTTCTGAAAACTAGCGTCGCTCTACAAGGGGTGCTATTGGCAATGATGTTGGCAGAGGAGAGCTCCCCTCCCGATCGCCGCGCGACGTGGGTCGCGGTCCGCGCCTCTGGGACCAGGACTTCCCAGCTGGGCTGGAAGCCGAGGGCGAAGGGAGGGGGAGGTGCGGGTGGGGGGCGTTTCATGCAGAATTCTACCGGGTGTGTGGCCGATGCCGTGCAGGTTCTTTCAACTCAGCACACCGCGTTGGCACCCCGGGGTCCTCCTGGAGTTGAAAACCAGGTTCGCACCGGGGGCAGGGGAGGGGGGGCGGCAGGGGGGTTCCTAGCGCGAAGGAACGCGCGAGGGTAATCGGACGTGTTTGCACCAGCTTATCTCCCATCAGTAATAGGGAAAAAGGTAGTAATATCCCCGGTATCGGAGTTTTACATATACATATATATTAAAGCTGCCGTTAAGAGGATCCTGGAAGCTGATGTTCATCACAGAGAACCTCCCGGCTTTAGTTCTCGCTCGCAAGCTCGGGTACACTGCTCTTGAACGCCACAGCGTTTCACCCAAGAAAGAAAATGTTTTATGGCAGAATAAATGGGCGTAACTTCGCCGCATCCTCGCTCCCGGTCGCTCGCGCAGCCACACCGCTGATGCTGAGTTTCTACCGAACCTACAGCTGATTTGCAGTTTCCCCATTTCCAGCCGAAATCACATAGGCGGGCCGCTGCCACCTGGTAAACTCAAGTTAGAGAAATCTATTTCATATGTGCGCCAGGTTTGTTTCCTACTGGGAAAGCTGTACCATCGTTACCCTGGAGCCCGCTCACGCGCGGGCAGGCGCAGTATCTCTACGCTCCAGGGTTTCCCAGCTCGCTCCAGTTTTTTGTTTGTTTGTTTTTTGAACTGCAGAAGGGTGCGTGTTTGGCGAGGGTGTCTGAGTGGGGTGGGGTTAGAGGTGGAGGAAGGGACAGAGCAGCGGGCTGGTTTAGTGGAATTAGTTTTGAATTATTATACTTGTACTTTGTGTAGAGACAGTTGCAATGAAGTGTTTTGTAATTCTGTGTCACCACACACACGCACACGCACGCACGCACACGCACGCGCTAGCATATACACAACACCCCTGCCTGGTTTTTCTAGATGGGAGTTGAGTGGTCATTTTTAATTAGCCCCTCCTTTTTGCATCCCAAACCCTTTCCCTGGAGGTAAGGGGGTGTAAACAGTACCCACCCCCTCTCCCCAACTAGCCGAGCCTCCTGCGCTCCGGACGGGTTTTAAACTCCTAATGCAGGAGCACACGCGTTGTTATTGGGAGACCTACACCATCTGCCTTTATTTTTGGAAACAACTTGTTTAATGAAACATCTTATACATTTCATTTGTTTTTTAAAAGTTGCTGGTCGGGAAACAATACACACGTAAATAAATTATGCATGGGATAAATTAGAACAAAGCGCAGAGACACATCCAGCTAAAGGGATGGATGGTGGTGTTGGGAGGAGGGGAGCAGGGAGAATGGTTTGGAGAGCTAGGTTTTTATCCTCTTGTGTCCCTCCTGACAATGAAACAGAGCTGAACGACATTAGCATTTTCTCTGTGTGCGGCCGAGTCAGTCTCTCCCTTTCCTAAAAAAAAAAAAAAAAAAAAAGCCAACAACACGGACGCCCCCTACAGAAACCAGTCACACAAAGGTTTCCTCTAGGATTGGGGAATAAAGTGGTGGTAGGTTAATATGCTGGGGAGAAACAAGCTCAGGTTTCATGCAACACCTCCGTGGGGCTCTGCCTACCCTGAGTGTGGACTATTTTTCATTATACTGGCTTTTCCATGTGGGACATTTAATAATTCAATAGCTCGGGTGACCGGATGGTACAATTTGAATCTCATTGCTTTGGGGTCTTCCTTAGGGTCCCAAGCTCCTGGAACCACATCTCCTCTCTTAGCAGTTTGGCTTTCTTCCTGCCTGTCTTTGATCTCCCCTCAACTCCCTTTCTTATTCTTCCTCCTTGGACCCTTCACCCCCTTCCTCTCTGAAGCTGACAGCCTGGCTTCTCTCTGTTGGCGCCTTTAACATCTTATTACTGCCCAACAGGGTGTTAGAGGCAGAAACAGGAGCCGCCTGGACTGATCAGATCACAAAGAGGACACGGCGGGTGGCCCCACAACCAAGCAGTCACATCTGGACAAATAGAATTTAAAAGCATTGATAGACTTGTATGATGTGTAAATGGGTATTACACATTATTTAATTTAGCAGCTACATTGTCTGAGCTTAGATGTGTGAGTAACCCTCATTTCTTACATGGACAAGCAAGAGAAGGGCCATGTAGTGAGGTAAAACCCATGCAGGTAACATAGATATGGGTTTGGTAAAGGTCTATGTAGAAGTCACATAACATATTCTGGTTGATTTCTGCATACCTAGGAAACATGATGCTTTTAATATAAATTCTAATCTTACTCAATATTCTAGTTCAAGTAAACCACCTTCCCCCAAATTTGCTATCAACGCTTTAAACAACTTACTCTTTTATTAAGTTATCAAAACCCTGGTTTGTATGCACTTAACTGGGAATGTCTGCCACCTTCTGCCAGACTTGATTATGCACATATGTATGTATTATTATAACTGCCAGCTTAGAAAAGAATAACTGTTATTATTATTTAATTATTCTATATAAACCAACAGGGTTTTTCCTCAAGTAACTGTTTAAAAAGAATGAGACCAGCAAACTATTTTGTCATGCTTCTAACTGTGAACATACAAATACATTATCGTTTTGAAACTTTCTTTGGTAAGGAGTTTCCCTTGCTTGGAGGTATGTGTCTATATCTGTTTTGTTATTAAGGAACAATTCTGGGAGAAGTAAATACACACTTACTTAGCCAAGGTTAAACAGCAGGTCATGTGTGTAGATGGACTTCAAATCTTCATCTCTTTATACATCCATCTTCAAATCTTCATCTCTTTATACATCCTATGATCTGGATACACTGTATTATAATCTAAAGTGGTTTTGGTGCCTGTGAAAGTTGTGCAATTGTGGCCACTTACAAGCCAGACCTCACTCTTGCTGTGGCACTCAGTTTAGATATCAGAGAAGAAGGGGTGTGTGTGTGTGGGGGGGCACATTCCTGGTTCTAATCTCCTCTCAGCTCTTTTGTTGGGAGTGGGGGAACGTGGGTAGGTACTAAGTGGGAGATATGGAGGTTGGGACTTTGTGAACTTGTAGCCTTTTATGGACATTATTTTAGCCCCTTATGAAAAAGGACCCTCAGATATTTTAAGCCAACAGATGCCTAAGAGCCACCTTCTCCATCTGCTTCTGGTTGCTACTCAAAAAAACCCAAAAAAACAAAAAAACAAAAAAACCCTGAATTCCCCAAACTTCATTAGCACACATTATTTTTCAGCGGGAAGAATGTCTGGTTTTGACGATACACCCATGAAGGATATTAATTTCTGCCAGAACCCAAGTAGAGGCATTGTCACAGGATAAACCTCTGAAAATAGCCTGCCTTGCAGACCACCTGGGAGACATCCAGAGATGGCCAGGAGAATGGGAGCTGCTGAGATCCCTAAGGTGGGCTGGCATTCAGAGGCCACTTAATTGGAGACTTCTCATATTCCTCTGTGTTTATGCAGTCATGCAGGTAGCTGGAATTTGGATACATCTGAGAAAGGCCATAATGTCTAAAGCGGTTTCAGAGCCATCTGCTCAGATCAATGCAAAAAATAAAATGCTATGGTCAGCAGGCTTTGTTTTGCACCAGAAACAGAAAGGAAACTGAGGCTGACTTCTCTGTTTTCAAAGTGCAGCCTCTGCTGATTTGTAGTGGTGGTGGGGGCTGGGTCATAAAAAGGCACAGAATCCAG